ACTGGTATTCTTGTAAGAAAAGAAGATTAGCATGTAGACACAAGAAAAGACCGTATCAAGAAACAGGGAGCAGATGGCCAGCTATAAGGCAAGGAGAGAGACCTAGAAGCCATCAGTCCCGACGTCACCTTGACCTCAGACTTCTGGCCTCCAGAACAGTAAGAAAATAAATTTCTGTTATTTAAGCCGCCCAGTCTGTGTCACTTTGCAGCTCTGGTAAACTAACACACCAACCAATTACAAATTCAGGTCTAAACTTTTTTTTTTTTTTTCTTTTTTTGAAACAGAGTCTTGTTCTGTCACCCAGGCTAGAGCGCAATAGCATGATCTCGGCTCACTGTAACCTTTACCTCCTGGGTTCAAGCAATTCTCCTGCCTCAGCTACTCCAGTAGCTGAGATTACAGGCATCCACCACCATGACCAACTAATTTTTGTATTTTTAGTAGAGATGAAGTTTTGCTATGTTGCCCAGGCTGATCTTGAACTCCTGGCCTCAATAGATCCACCCACCTTGGTCTCCCAAAGTGCTGGGATTACAGGCATGGGCCATTATGCCTGGTACTACATCTAAACTCTTTCACTTGTAGAGACTCTCCATCTAATTTTTCTTTCTTTCTTTCTTTAAGACATACTCTCGCTCTGTCACTGGAGTACAATGGCGCAATCATAGCTCACTGCAGGCCTGGGTTCATGCAGTCCTCCACCTCAGCCTCTCCAATAGCTGGAATCATAAGTACATGTCCCTACAACTGGCTAATTTTAAGTTTTTCTTTTGTAGAGACAGGGTCTCACTATGTTGACCAGGCTGGTTTTGAACTTCAGGCCTCAAGCGATCCTCCTGCCTCAGCCTCCGAAAGTGCTGGGATTACAGAAGTGAGCCACCGTGCCTGACCTTATCTCATTCCTCTGGATCTTATTTTTCATGCCTCCAACTAAAGCTCACATCTACTGTCAGGTTACTTTTCCTTCAGGAACCCATAAGAGTACTCATCTGGTCAAACATCTTCCCATGACTCATTGCTCAATGAAGACCAAACTTCACAGCCCGGCAGCTAAAGACCCACTGACCTTTCCAGCTTTATCTTGCACTAGTCTCTCTGACTCAAGCCACTGCTTTGTCGCTCACCAGCTACAGAACATAGCTTTCCTTCTGAGTATCTTTCCCTTCCACCTACTCAACACTCTTCTTAAAGCCTCAACTAAAAAAATCATATTCCTTATGAAAACTTCACAGATCACTCTAGTCAAAGCTCATCTCTGATGTATCTTAAACTTAGTTGTTTTTATAGCTATTGGCTTATAATAAATATTCAGGGAGCCAATTCAAAGGTTCTCATGTTATAGAGACAGAAAATGGTTTACTACCAAAAAAAAAAAAGTCACTATATCATTAGGGAGAAAAATAAACACATAACTTAATACATGGAGAGTAACTTTTAAAATAAAATCTATACCCAGTTCTATTAATATGTCTAAATTCTTAAGATCTCACATTAATATTTAACAGTGAGACTTGTGGCCCATCCTTAGAAGGTCTCTGCTGCCTCTAAAGAGATAATTTACTGGGGAAGGCTGTTTAAATAAACCTCAAACTATCTTGAATTTAAAAAAATTTTTATTTTAATCCACATTACCACAACACTAATATCCATTACCACACGAATTGTACTGTAGCAGAAAGTAGTAATTCCACCTTGGGTTTAATCGTTTTATCAAATGCTTGTAAACATGTGCAAGGAAGGAGGTCAGAGCCCGGTGCAATCTTTCAGCTAAGGCTGTCACAACAACTTTTTTTGCTTCACTAATTTGCACATGTGCTACTAATAGGGGTTACACAATAGAACTATTTATATACTCAGAGAAATTCTGAATGTCTTCTTACCTAATGTGAGATCTGGCAGCAAAGGGAAAGTACAAGGCTATGGGTCACGGACACTCTGATCCATCAATTACAGAACATTCATTTAAATGTTCCAAGGATTAAGAGAGGTAGCAATTTAACATCACCTTCATAATCAAGGGCCAGGCAAAGTCTATGATTTAAACGCTTTCAAGGTACATGTGAAGAAATGAAAACAGTCTAACCATGAGAAAGGAGGATACCCAAATTTGGACATGCCCATCACTTTATTATAGAAAAGTGAATGGTTTCTATGTTTCCATTAATAGAGCAGCAATTTAACATGAGCTTCATAATCAAAGGCATTCTATTTTATATATGATTACAAATGAAAATTCTATTACCATTGCTTTCAATCTCCCCCCGTTCATAAAATACATTGATTTGTAACAAGCTTTCATCAAACGCCTTTTCCTTGGCATCTGAATTCCAGTATAGCAGATTATATGGTCCCATCTCAACCCCCCCAAAACTCTTCCAAGTATTCTAGAATGCTATATAACAAACTATGTTCTGTTCAAAAAGCACTGAAATTGTGCTTTCATCTTGTTAAGAATAGTAAATAATTATAATGCTGTTAAAAACTTACTTGAACTTTGCTTCCACCTCTTCAGCAGCTTTCTGATATTGTTCAGTGGTGACTTTGTAGAACTCTGAGCTCTGTGGACAAAGATTGATAGCAAAGTTTTCACTATCTAATATGACAAAACGTGTGGAAGATTGACAACTTCAAAAAATACATAAAACCTTGTTTCAGCCACTCAAGCAGTAGAAGGCTTTCTTGTATAGGTGGCATAGATACTTATAAAACACATGTAAAGCTACTCATTTAAATAACAGTAGAGTTGTTGGTATGTGGATTATAATTACAGAGTACATTTTCACCGTTATAATTTCTTATTATTTTATCCTTTGGAGAGAATTCCTAACATTTTGGATTCTTTAAATCACCATTATTTGGAATCTACCTTTGTAAGGTCAAAGGATGCCTGAGATCAAAAACTGAAATTCACATACATTCATATTTACCTATTATTCCATTGTGTTCCTACTAGGATATTAAAGATCATCTCATTCTACACAATATATTTGTTGTCAAGATGGCGGCTCACGCCTGTAATCGCAGCACTTTGGAAGGCCAAGGTGGGTGGATCACCTGAGGTCGGGAGTTCGAAACCAGCCTGACCAACATGGTGAAACCCCGTTTCTACTTTAAAAAAAAAAAAAATTAGCATGGTGTGGTGGCACATGCCTGTAATCTCAGCTACTCGGGAGGCTGAGCAGGAGAATCTCTTGAACCCAGGAGGCAGAGGTTGCAGTGAGCCAAGATCATGCCATTGCACTTCAGCCTGGGCAAGAAGCAAACCTCTGTCTCAAAAAGAAAAAAAAAAAGATATATTCTTTATGGAGTATAAGTTGTTCTATCATTTTCACATGACAACAAGAACAGCAACAGTTATGACTAATCAGTAGGAACAAGGGGGCAGATTTAGATAATTTTAATAAAAAATGTTTCCACTACTAACATGAATGGACACAGAAACAACATAAACCAAGATGCAATGGCAAAGTAATGCCTTTCCTGGCGCAGCAAAATGTATCCATTCTGATTTAGCTACACTGGAACTGGTCTTATTGCAGGAGGTGGCCTAAATGACCCCATGGGCCCTGAGACTCAATGAAATGTCCTGCAAAACACACTGTATTAAAAAAAAAAAAAACACCACAAATACCACCAAAATACAGTGGTCAACTGTGTACCTTTCATCCTCTAATCACTCAGGTTTCACATGGCTTGGGATCATTTATTTTTTAATAAATCATTGTTGGTCGGTGAAAAAATGAAACTGAAATCCTCTTTACACCAGCGACCCCTTTGCATTTAACAATCTAGGTTGTCCAATGACAGTCACATCCAGGATTCTTGGATGTAGATAAAATCAATAGGTATGTGATTAGACAGCAGACTCAGGGTGGCTGGAGCCACGGACAGGTCACCATTTGAGATGATGAATGGCTTTCTATCAACCTATAGTCCCCTACGATGCTAACATTTACTATAATCTTATTTGGGCCACAATTTATCTTTCTTGCACCTGATCAATAAAGATGAACAGAACAGTTCTAAGGATCGATTGTAATTTTTTATCATTTTCAAGCACAAAGGTGCATTTCTGACATGAAGACAATATTCTAAGTGTACTGCTTCTGCATTTTATAAAATTGCAATTTGAGTGATCAACTGCACTAGTCTATCTGCTGAGAGGTTTTAATTCCTCTGTAGGTCTCAAGCTATCAAAAAACCATTTGTCATCTCAGATACTTAACTGAAGGTTATGTCACACCTTCCTATCTGTTTCACTTTTAAGATTTTTTTTCCTTTGAACTACATACCAGTCACAACATGCTCTTTTGCAATGTTTGGCTTAGGCTTTCCTTTGAACCATTCTAACAAAGAAGGCAGCAAAAAGGCAGTTACTAATCACTAACAATAGTTACTCTCACTAAAGGCAGGGAACTCCCAGATTAATGAACTGTCGAGTGGGTATTATGTTACTGAATTATCTATTAAAATGCTGGCTAAGCAACAACATCTTAATTAATACTTTTACTTAGTTTAAGCACTGAAACTAGTATCTGGACAGAAACAGGACTACATTGAAATATCTGGTTTCTGGTACTGTTCTGTGACCTTGAGCATGTCTTTAATCTCTACCAACTTCCCTTCCAGTGTTCCATCTATCCAATATTATGGATGAAAATATTAGCACTGCTCATTTCTGCCAAAGCTGTTGAAGAAATCAAATAAGATAGGCAAGAGAGCTGTGAAATCTGTTAAATGTTTTTACAGAGTAGATCAACATCTAAATAAAATAATTTTGGAGGAAAATAATTAGAGTAATTCCATTCTAGGTATAGATTCTAAATGGTAAAAAATACTATACTTTTTATTAAGAATGTACACAAAATCAAGAATTTGCCGTAATGTAAATTAGTCAGTTCCTCTCTGCTTTGCCATACCAAATGCAGGTAAAATTATTATTAATTTTATCAACTTTCCTATAGGATGTTAAAACACACACACATGCACGCCCACATGCGCACGCATGTACACCCCAGTACCTGCGTTACTTGAAAACTTAGCACACAATTCTCAAATTAAAGCTTTAGGATTTATGCTCTATACTTCCATCTCAGTGACCAGTTTCCAACACTGCATAAATCTTTCCAATAAAGAAAAGTCTCCAGGAGGCAACATCATGTAACAACCAAGGGAATAAACACAAGTATTCTCAAAATCTATGACAGTGTTTACTTCATTATTTAAGTATTTACTTATTCATGAAAATTAAATTCTTATTGCCCCAATAACATCCATCTTTGGGAATCAGACCCTCAAGAAGCTTTCCATCTAACATGGGAGAAAAGAACAATTATTATAATGGAAAGTCACAAATGCCAAGTTCAAAGTCACAGGTAAGTGTTTCTGGAGTTCAGAAAGAGTAGAGATCTCCTTTAGCCTCAGAAGACACTTTTAAAAATAAACAGCACCCATTCAAAACAACAACAACAACAACCACCAACCCAACAAAAATACTCATTATGTTTTCCAGTGAGAGAATGGATAAATACTGGTTATTTGTACAGTGAAAATCTATAGCATACAGATAAGGAATGAATTAGACAAACATGCAGAGCAAAAAAGTTGTAGAACTGATTGGTAGGATACATCTGATGCCAAAATTGGAAAAGTGAAAAGTAATGAACAAGAATAGTAAACATCAAGTTCCACTGATTATCTCTGAGTGGCAGCGGTCACAGGGTGTGGCGGAAGTGCACAAGAAGTGCAGGATGCCACAAAGTATGGGAACACGGGCTTTGCTGTGTTGCTGTATTTTTTCAAATGAGGTGTGGGCATGCAGCTAGTTATTACGTTGGTTTAAAATACTTTATAATCCAGACAAAAATTGTATTACTCTCACTTTCCTCCAAAGGGGTTAACAATACATGATTTCGCTTGGCTAGAAATAAAGTGTATGGCAGGGGTGGGGGGGGGCGGGTACATCCTGAAGAGGTCAGCTAAGTGAATATTGTATATATTCTTCAATACTAAACTATTGTCGTATATACACAATACTAAGCAAACATACTCTTTTCATTTTTATTGTGAAAAAATTTGAGTTATAGAAAATAGGCACAAAATAGAAGATTCCCATATATCCTTTACCTAGGTTCCCTTTATGTCCACATCTTAGATAATTATAATACAATCATCAAAAGTAATGATTTAACAATGTTACAACAGTAGTAACTAAACTGCAGACTTAATTCAGATGTTTCCAGTTTTCCTACTCATGTTCCTTTTCTGTTTTAGGACCTAACCCTGGATCCCATGTTGTATCTAATTGCCATGGCTCCTTAGTCCCCTTTAATCTATAACAGTTCCTCATCTTCCTTGTCTTTTATGACCTTGACACTTCCAAAGAATACTGGTCAGATGTTTTGTATCACAGACTTGAGATTTGGGCTCATCTGGTGTTTTCTCGTGGTTAGCATTTTTGCACTACTGGGAAGAAATCTACAGAAGCAATGTGCCCTTCTCCTGCCTAATTTCAGGGGCTACATTATGGCAAAAGATCTTTTGATTGATGACCCTGATTATCTGATTAAAGTGGTGTCTGTGGGGATTCTCCACAACAAAGCTACAATTTTTCCTTTTTGTAATTGATATCTTTCAGGAGATACTTTGATGCAAATGTTCTGTTTCTTCTCAAAGTTTCATCCATCACTTCTTCGTATCCACTGGTGAGTCCTGTCTGCGGCAATGACTATTACGGTATTCTGATGGTGCATTAATTTCTTTCTCTGTCTTTTTTTTTTTTTTGAGATGGAGTCTCGCTCTGTCGCCCAGGCTGGAGTGCAGTGGTGCGATCTCGGCTCACTGCAACCGCCACGTCCCAGGTTCAAGCAATTCTCCTGCCTGAGCCTCCCCAGTAGCTGGGATTACAGGCACATGCCACTACGCCTGGCTAATTTTGGTTGCTAGCCCTTGGTTCAAGGTCTATGGACCACCTGCCTCAGAGTCACTTGCGGAGTTGCTAAACTGTAGAGTCTTGGGCCACATCCTGAATCTCTGGGGATGGGGCCAGGACGCTGTATTTTTTACAAGCAGCTTGGGTGACTCTGAATACACACACTAAATTTGTAAACTATGGGGTTTCTAGAACAATGCAAGAATAATATAGTATTTAGCTTGCCATTCAAAGTGAAAAAAAAAAAATCAGTGTTTTCGAAGAATGATGGCAAATAACCACTTTTCATACTTAAATGTAGCTATAATCTTTACAAAGGTACTGCAAATTAGCGATTCTGCCAATGTTGTTGGCAGATCACTGGTGGACCCCAAACTGCTCCAAGAACTCTGTCTTCACCACACACTGCCTAGCAACACTATAGTGTTCCTACCCTGAATGGGGACTGAGAGGTAAGAGCACAACCATTTTCGGAACGGTTGCTTTTGTTATCTATGTTGTCTTGGGATGGTAATAGGCTGCACACGCTGCTCTCTTGTTTATTAATTATAGATGACTATTACTTTAATGTCATCATTGTAACTGTTTTCTCTGGTTAACCCTACAGTTTGTAGTAAGATAGACATT